ATCCCTGCTGGGCATGGTGGCACATGCCTGTAGTCCCAGCTACTAAGGATTGCTTGAGCCTGGAAGGTCTAGGTGGCAGTGAGCTGTGATCATGCTAGTACACTCTAGCTGGAGCAACAGAGTGAGCCCCTGTCTCAAAAAGCAAACAAACAAAATAGATTAATAAAGAGGGATAAAAATTAAAAGTGAAAAGACAAACTCATATAGAGTCACACAGGAGGTGCAAAGCACCTCCCTGATAAATGTCTTCCAAGTAGAATGCATCTTCGTTTTTATCAAACTTCAGAGAATATATTTTTCTCTGGATATGGTGTTTTTGACTAATATTTGCATAGAAATTGTTTATATTTGGGCACCCCAAAAAACCTCAACATTTTTTTTTTTCTGAGGCAGGGTCTTGCTCTATCGTCCAGGCTGGATTGCAGTGGCACTATCTCGGCTCACTGCAACCTCCACCTCCTGCGTTCAAGCAATTCTCCTGCCTCACTCTCCTGAGTAGCGGGGAATACAGGCACACACCCCTATGCCAGGCTAATTTTTTTTTTTTTTTGTATTCTTAGTTGAGATAGGGTTTCACTATGTTGGTCAGGCTGGTCTTGAGCTCTTGACCTCGTAATCTGCCTGCCTTGGCCTCCCAAAGTGCTGGGATTACAGGTGTGAGCCACCTCACCAGGCTAAGATAAGATTTTTAAGTAAAGTAAAATTATGTGCATGAAAAGTTTTGCATTGAATCCCAGATACAATTGGTAGAATACAGAATCATGTGTAGATATTTTTCCAACTTTTTATTTTCAAACATTTCAAACCTGAAAACCAGGCCGGGTGGGGTGGTTCATACCTGTAATCCCAGCATTTTGGGAGGCCGAAGCAAACAGATCACTTGAGGCCAGAAGTTCAAGACCAGCCTGGCCAACATGGTGAATGAAACCTTGTCTCTTTTAGTAATACAAAAATTATGCCGAAATTGAATTCCAGAAAAGAAGGGGAAAAATGTAATACAAAAATTAGGGCCAGGAGCGGTAGCTCACACCTGTAATCCCAACACTTTGGGAGGCTGAGGTGGGCAGATCATGAGGTCAGGAGATCGAGACCATCCTGGCTAACATGGTGAAACCCCGTCTCTACTAAAAATACAAAAAAATTAGGTGGGCGTGGTGGTGCACTCCTGTAGTCCCAGCTACTTGGGAGGCTTAGGTAGAAGAATAGCTTGAACCCGGGAGGTGGAGGTTGCAGTGAGCTAAGATCGTGCCACTGCACACTAGCCTGGGCGACTGAGGGAGACTTATCTCAGAAAAAAAAAAAAAAAAAATTAGCTGGGCAAGGAAGTGCACACCCGTAGTCCCAGCTACTCAGGAGGCTGAGGCATGAGAATTGCTTGAACCAGGGAAACAGAGGTTGTAGTCAGCTGAGATTGCATCACTGCATTTCAGCCTGGGTGACAGAGAGAGATTTTGTCTCAAAAAACAAAACAAAACCTGGAAACCAGAAAAGTTTAAAGAATACACATATACCCTTTACCTACAGACACCAATTGTTAATATTTAGCCACATTTACTTTGTCTCTCTCTCTCTAGACACACACATACACACACTTGGCTGAATCATTAACAGTAATGAGCAGACCCCATGATACTTTACCCCTAGATTCTTCAGTGTGTGTTTTCTATGAACAAGGACATTCTCCTACATGATCGCAATATCACTATCATACCTGCAATAGACTGAATGTTTGTTTCCCCACGAAACTCATATGTTGAAACCTAATCCCCAGTGTCATGGTATTTGAATATGGGGCCTTTGGGAGGTGAATAGCTCATGAGGGTGGACCCTGTTTTTTATAAGCTATCCGGTCTATGGTATTTTGTCATATCAGCCCAAATGAATTAAAACAATACCCATGAAATTTAACATACCCAATAGTATCTAATATACAGTCTATACCAAAATTCCCATATATCTATAACTGACATTTATCCTCTTATCTCTAAAATCACTCTTCTTGGCCCGGTATGGTGGCTCATAACTATAATCCCAGCACTTTGGGAGGGCAAGGCGGGTGGATCACCTGAGTTCAGGAATTCCAAGCCAGCCTGGCCAACATGATGAAACCCCGTCTCTACTAAAAAATACAAAAAATTAGCCAGGCATGGTGGCAGGTGCCTATAATACCAGCTGCTCAGGAGGCTGGGGCAGGAGAATCACTTGAACCTGGGAGGCGGAGGTTGCAGTGAACCGAGTACGCGTGACTGCACTCCATCCTGGGCAACAGGAGTGAAACTCCATCTCAACAACAAACAAAAACAAAAAACACCTCTGCTTCCTTTTATGCCCCGCATAGTTATGGGCCCTCCCCAAAGCTAAACCAATGCTCTTACCAAGGAAAAGCATGCTCAGTTCTTCATAGCCTTAACCTACAGTCATTATGCATAGCATTCCATTTATTCCTTACACAAGAGTGTATTCATTATCTCTATTTTCACATAAGAAAAATTAGGTTCAGACAGTCACACAGATATTTAGTAAGTCTGAGAGTCAAAATTTGAACTCAGATCTCTGACTTCACAGCCCATGTTCTTTCTGCTATGCCACAATGCCTAGTATATCAAATCTGCATTATTTTTTTTTTTCCTGAGATGAAGTCTAGCTCTGTCACCGGGGTGGAGTGTAGTGGTGCAATTGCAGTTCATTGTAGCCTCGACCTTCCGAGCTCAGGTGATCTTCCCAGCTCAGCCTCCCAAGTAGTGGCGATGACAGGCGCATGTCACTACGCCCAGCCAAATCTATGATACTCTGACTAATGAGGATAGCAAGGCTTTTGTTTTATTTAAATGAGACTTGCATTTATTACTTACACAGTGATTAATAAGCGTACAAATTTTAGTGTTTTTTTCTGTTAATTCTTAGTCTACATTCTAGGATCTCTTTAAGGCCACAGCTAGATTTGTTCTTGGAGACACCCTCAGCCCCTAGAATGATGCCTGACAGTAGGTATTCAATGAATGTCTACTGGATAAATGCATGAATTAGACTAAGTACACATAGACTCAAAAGAAATATGGAAAGTATGTTTTCAAACTGATTTTCTAATCCAGCAACAGCTGTAAACATTCATTGCAAGAAGTTGATCATACAGGAATTTACTCTGCTGCATTTTTTTTTTCTTTTTAATACAGGGTCTTACTGTGTTGTCCAGGCTGGAACACAGTGGGGCAATCATGGCTCACTGTATCCGCAATCTCCCAGGCTCAGGTGATCCTCCCACCTCGGTCTCCCAACTAGCTGGAACCACAGGCTCAAGCCACCACATCTGGCTAATTTTTGTATTTTTTGAAGAGACAGAGTCTTGCCATTTTTCCCAGGCTATTCTGCTGCATTTTTAACATTTCCAACAATAATTGCTTCATTCAGACCATCCTGTCCTTTACTCAATCTTGCCATCACACTTTTGCTCAACTTTCAGACCCAGCATTAATCTCAAATCCTCCTTCTGCAATTCCAGCTTGAAGTCTTCCTTTTGTTCTCATCTTTAACCTATAAGCAACATTTTTGTTATATATTTTACATTGCTCTTATTGCAGAATTTATCATTATTATGCATAAATAATAATCAAAGGCAATATTTTCCCAGTTATTTGGTATCATCATTTAAATGAATCTTCCAGATAACTCAACTCTATAAGAGTTAAACCTTTTAAAACATGTGGATCATCTTTCACAAAAAGCCTTCTAAAATGTGTTAAATATTTTTCTCCCTCTTAAAACAGCATGCACAGAACATTCTTTAACGTTTTTCTGACTCTAGCTCTGACTGAAAGCATCTGTTATTGCATTGGTCCATGGAAGAGAGATGCCATGACAGAAAATGATTTTTCTGTCACTTTCATCAAATATTATTTTGCTTCATTCATCACCAGCTGCCACTTCTTATTCCTGATGCAGCTCCAGAAGCTCCTTTCTAATTCTCAGCTCCTTATAATGTAGGAAACCAGCCAAATGAACTTGTTAATGTTTGTGAAAAAGATAACTAGACCCCAAGGAGCTTACAAATAAACTGCGATAATTTAGTGACACCTTTTTTGTACACTTAAATGCCTCTTTTTCTTATTAATTCCTAGTTCCTGGCTAGGTTGTTGGCTAAAAATTATTTCCTGATAAACAAGGCATTACCTTATATATGTTATCAATAAAATTATATGTATAAATACATGGAAATGCGTGCATACTATTGCATTATTCAATAAGAGTTTTACAGCTGTGGCCGGGCACGGTGGCCCATGCCTGTAATCCCAGCACTTTGGGAGACCGAGGTGGGTGGATCACAAGGTCAGGAGTTTGCGACCAGCCTGACCAATGGTGAAACCCCATCTGTACTAAAAATAGAAAAATTAGCCGGGCATGGTGACACGCATCCGTAATCCCAGCTACTTGGGAGGCCGAGGTGGGAGAATTGCTTGAACCTGGGAGGCGGAGGTTGCAGTGAGCCGAGATCATGTCACTGCTCTCCAGCCTGGGTGACAGTGCAGACTCTGTCTCAAAAAAAAAAAAAAAAAAAAGAAGAAGAAGAAACCCTGTCTCTATTTAAAACACAAAAAAATTAGCTGGGCGTGGTGGCACACACCTGTAATCCTAGCTACTCAGGGGCTGAGCAGGAGAATCACTTGAACCTGGGAGATGGAGGTTGTGGTGAGCCGAGTTCATACCATTGGACTCCAGCCTGGGCAACAAGAGCAAAACTCATCTCAAAAAAAAAAAAGATTTTTACAGCTGCATGTCCCCTTTTGGAATTCCTTGAGGACAAAGACTCTGTTTCTTTCTTTCTTTTTTTAATTTATTTATTATACTTTAAGTTCCGGGATACATGTGCAGATTGTGCAGGTTTGTTAAATACGTACGCATGTGCCATGGTGGTGGTTTGCTGCATCCATCTCCCTGTCATCTACATTAGGTATTTCTCCTAATGCTATCCCTCCCCAATCCCCCTGGCCCCTGCTATTCCTTCCCTAGCCCCTATGCTCCAGGCCCCAGTGTGTGACATTCCCCTCCCTGTGTCCCTGTGTTCTCATTGTTCAACACTCACTTATGAGTGAGAACATGCAGTGTTTGGTTCTCTTTCTTTCTTTCTTTCTTTTTGAGCCTGTCTCTCAGGCTAGAGTGCAGTGGCACGCAATCTCAGCTAAATGCAACCTCCACCTCCAGGGTTCAAGTGGTTCTCCTGCCTCTGCCTCTACCTCTGGAGTAGCTGGGAATACCGGCATGCACCACCATGCCCGGCTAATTTTTGTAGTTTTAGTAGATGGTTTCACCATATTGGCCAGGCTGGTCTTAAATTCCTGACCTGAAGTGATCCGCCCACCTTGGCCTCCCAAAGTGCTGGGATTATAGGCATAAGCCACCATGCCTGGCCTCTATTTCTTTATATAGTACCTGGCACATAGTAGGAGCTCAAAAATGTTTGCCTATGAATGGATATTATAGCCTAGCCTTCTGGTGCAACAGAAATTATTTTTAAAATTTATTTGCTAGATTAGTCAACAAAGATCTTTCTCTACAAGAATTAAAAATATTAGCCAAACATGGTTATACATCCCTGTAGTCCCAGGTACTCAGAAGACAAAGGCAGGAGGATTGCTTGAGGCCAGAAGTTTGAGGCTGCAGTGAGTTATGATCATCCCACTGTACTCCAGCTTGGATGACACAGTGAGACTTCATCTCTGAAAAATAAAAAATAAATAAAATAAAAAATTATTTGCTCACTTGCACTTAACCATGGGGGGAAAGTTTTGGGAAAAGGTGACATGGAGGTTGTTAATATAACTTCTAAGCTCCAAGTGTAGGACCTTTGCTTTTTCTTTCCACTATATTTCCAGAGGCTAGATCGATGCCTGGTACATAGTATTTAATTTATTTACCATCTACTATAAGCCAGGTATATTATTCAGAGACAGGGTCTTGCTCTGTTACCCAGGCTAGAGTGCAATAGTGTGATCATAGTCACTGTGGCCTTGAACTCCTGGGCTCAAGCAGTATGCTCACCTTCGCCTCCTGAGCAGCTGGGACCAACTACAAGTGCACACTACCACAATGAGCCGATTTTTAAAAATGATTTTTGTGGAGACAGGGTCTCATTATGTTGCCCAGACTGGTCTCGAACTCTTGGCCTCAAGTGTTCCTCACACCTCAGCCTCCCAAAGTGCTGGGATTACAGGCGTGAGCCACTTTGCCTGGCCATGCCAGGCATATTCTAATGATTAATTTGTATACTAATTCTATGAGGTTGGGATTATTACTGTCATTCCCTTTTTACAGATGAGAAAATTGAGGCATAAAGAGGAAACTTACCCAAAAGGTCACATTGCTAGTGAGAGGCAGAGCTGGAATGCAAACCCAGAACTAGTTCCAGAAGCAGCACTATTAACCCTTATGTAATAGTGCCAGATATATTTCTGGAAATGACTTAGTTAACTACTAATTTCTGCACCTTGCTTTGCTTGTGAAGTCTGTTGCTACAAATCTACAGTTGACTACTTCTGTGGAAACCCAGCTGTCTTAGTCTGTTTTGTGTTGCTATAAACGAATACCTGAGACTTGGTAGTTTATAAAGAGAAGAGGTTATTTAGCTCATGGTTCTGCTGGCTGTACAAGAAGCATGCCAGTGGCATCTGCTTGACTTCTGGTAAAAGCTTCAGATTGTTTCCACCCATGGTGGAAGGCAAAAGTCTTCTCTCATGGTGAGAGAAGAAGAAACAGAGAAAAGGGGGCCAGGCTCTGTTTAACAACCAACTCTTGCGGGAATTAATAGAACTCCCTCACCCCTAAGGAAAGGCATTAATCTCTTCATAAGAGATCCGCCCCCATGACCCAAGGCCTACCTCCAACACTGGGGATCAAATTTCAACATGAGGTTTAGAGGGGCACATATCCAAACCATAGCACCAGCATATTAGAATTATGTGTTTATTTATTCTTCTCAAGAATGTATTCTTTTTAAACTAAATTTATACATATGTATATACATATATATACATATACATATGTTTGAGATAGGGTTTCACTCTGTCATCCAAGCTGAAGTAGCTGGGACCACATGTGTGCATCACTACACCTGGCTAATTTTTAAATTTTTTGTAGAGACAGGATCTCCCTAGATTGCCCAGGCTGGTCTTGAACACCTGGGTTCAAGTGTTCCTTCTGCCTTGGCTTCTCAAAGTGCTAGGATTATAGGAATGAGCCACCATACCCAGCCATGAATATATTCTCCCAGAATGTCAGAGGAGTTGAGGCAGGACGTGTGACTAAGAGAGTAGATATAAAGTCTGTGCTGTGGTAATTAATTCTCCACTTTACAAGTCACCCACTGTGATGTAAGGAAAAGCATTAGATAAATTCTTGGGATTCTGTCCTAGTTCTGCCACGAGCTAGTTGTGAGATTTCTCAATGTATTAACTCATTTTAAGCCTCAGATTCTTCATCTGAAAATTGGGTCGTGGTTGAGGGAATGAGAAAATGTTTGGATTAGATTAGTTGTTCTGAATCATAACTGTACATTAAAATCATACAGGGAGTTTTAAAAACTACCAATCCCTGAGTCTCATTCTCAGAGATTTTTATTTAATTTGTCTGGAATGGTATCTGGCCATTGTGGTTTTTAAAGCTCCTTGGGGACAGGCTAATGTGCAGCCAAGCTTTACAACCACTGGATTTGATGAAAACGTGAACATTTGCTGCTACTTTGTTAGGTGTGGAAAAGGAAAGACAGAGAGGCTTAAGCAATACTCCCCTTGGACCCAGGCAACTGGGGGGTCCTGTTGTAGGCCCTGATTTAGAAGGACCTCGTTCCAGCTCTTCTTGGGCTGTGCCCTTCCCTCAGGCAGGGAGAATGATCAGAAGTGGGAGGAAGCTGCAAGGTCAAGAGGACATGCCCACACAGAGACCTTCTGTTTTGAAACACTCTTTGGGGCCAGATCCAGTGGCTCATGCCTTCATGCCTATAATCCCAGCACTTTGGGAGGCTGAGGTGGGCAGATCACTTCAGGCCAGGAGTTCAAGACCAGCCTGGCCAACATAGTGGAACCCTGTCTTTACTAAAAATACAAAAATTAGCCAGATGTGGTGGTGTTTGTCTATAATCCCAGTTACTCGGGAGGCTGAGGCAACAGAATCTCTTGAGCCTGGAAGGTGGAGGTTATAGTGAGCCAGGATTGCACCACTGCACTCCAGCCTGGGCAACAGAGTGTCTCAAAAAAAACAAAAACAGAAAACCCTCTTTGGGTACCCAAGACCTGAAGGTCTCTACTCAGAGTCTTGAGCCTCCCACCAGGGCCTAATTGGCCTCTTACCCAAGTCCATACTCCAGGGACAAACTGTAATGCAAGTATGCACATCCCTAAGCCCAAGGGGTGGCTGATTGTAAGGGAATGTAAATAGAAAGTGGACAGCAGGTGGAAGTGTTAACATAGGTATATACAGTCATTATTTGAGGGCTGTTGAAGCCAAAAGATAGGGATAGCACAGAGGGTAGGGGGTTAAATGCTTGCCCCTACTGGTTTGCTAAGTGGGATGACAATATGGGCTTCCAATGTCAGCCAGAAAAAGCCTTCAGGGAATGACATATGCATATGCTGAGTCAGAAGTCATACTGGTGTGTGTTGAAGTGGTAAGAATCAGTGGGCATGCAAGGTGGGCTTGGGGTAGATCCACTATGATGGTTTCACTGACAATCAGAAATGGCTTTCACTTGGGATAGGGTGGGTTGGAGATGGTGATGGAAGTGCTAAGCTAGGTGTTATTGAATAGTAGTTTCCAAATTAAGGACAAGTGCTGATCTGTAATAAAATTTTCTTGATGTACCAAAAAAATAAGAACAGCCAGGAGCAGTGGCTCATGCCTGTAATCCCAGTGTTTTGAAAGACCTAGGCAGGAGTCAGATCCAAGATGGCCGATTAGGAGCAGCTCAGGATTGCAGCTTGCAGTGAAAGCACAGAGGGTGAGTGGACACCTCATTTCCAGATGGATTTTTATTGCCCACAGACCAGGAGATTCCCAGGTGGAGGAGTCCCACGGGTCACCAGCATGGCTGTTTTGGCCAGCGCCCTGGTATGGTGGTTCTCCATACAAAATACACAGGTCTGGGCACCATTTTAGCTGGCAATTGGAGCTCTTGGGAGACAAAGTCACCCATTCTTCTGATTAAAAACGGGACTGAAACAGGGAGCCAGGCCAGGAGATTCCCAGGCAAAAAAGTGCCACGAATCTCAGTGCAGCTATTTCAGCCAGTGCAGTGGGTCGCCGAAGGGGAAATCACACAGATCCCGGCACCTTTTCAACAGGCGACTGGAACATGTGGGAGACAGTCGACCGTTCAACTAAAAAAGAGGAAAAAAAAAGGGGCTCTGAGGCAGGGAGTCAGGTGATCAGGCTCGGCTGCTCCCACCCCCACAAAAAGTCAGCAATTGGAAATGCTCTGGATTGAGAGTTTCACAGCAAGCACAGCTGAACCCGGGATGGTCTAGCTCTGTGGCGGAGGGGCGTTTGCCAATACCAAGGCAGTCCACCACTGCGGAGGTAGTTTGCTGTTGCCGAGGCAGCCTGCCATTGCTGAGGCGGCCTGCCATTAAAGAGAGAGTCTGCCATTATAGAGGTGGGCCGCCATTGCCAAGGCAGTTCTAACTACACCTGTATAAACAGGACTGCAGGGAAGTTCACGTGGCAGCTAGGCGGATCCCACAGCCGATCAGCAAAGCCTCTTCAGGCAGACAGTGACTAGGCTGCCTCCTCGCTGGGCAGGGCAGCCGTGAAAAAACCCAGCAGCACAACAGAACTCATAAATAAAGCCCTAATTCCCCGGGACAGAGCATCTGGGGGAAAAAAAAGGGGGTTTATGAGTTCTGCTACAGCAGACTTAAACGTACCTGCCCAGCAACTCTGAATGAACAATGGAACTCACAGCTCAGCATTTGAGCTCCTGTAAAGGACAGACTGTCTCCTCAAGCAGCTCCCTGACCCCTGTATGTCCAAAGAGTCACCTCATAAAGGAGAGCTCAGACTGACATCTGACGGGTATCCTTCTGGGTCAAAGATAGCAGAAGAAGAAACTGGCAGCAACCCTTACTGTTCTGCAGCCACTGCAGATGATCCCCAGGCAAGCAGGGCCTGGAGTGGATCTCAGCAGTCCTACAGCAGAGGGGCCAGACTGTTAGAAGGAAAACTAAGAAACAGAAAGAAATAACTTCATTATCAACAAACAGGATGTCCACTCAGAGACCCAATCTGAAAGTCAAAAACTACAAAGACGACAGGTGGATAAATCCACAAAGATGGGAAGAAACCAGTGCAAAAAGGATGAAAACACCCGAAATCAGAATGCCTCTTCTCCTACAAAGGATCACAACTCCTCACCAGCAAGGGAACAAGGCTGGATGGAGAATGAGTGTGATGAATTGACAGAATCAGGTTTCAGAAGGTGGGTAATAAGAAAATTCTATGAGCTAAAAAAACATGTTCTAATTCAATGCAAAGAAACTAAGAACTTTGAACAAAAATGTGATGAAATGCTAATGAGAATAAACAACTTAGAGAGGAATATGAATGAATTGATGGAGCTGAAAAACACAACATGAGAACTTAATGAAGCATATACAAGTTTCAACAGCCAAATTGACCAAGCAGAAGAAAGGATACAGAGGTTGAAGATCAACTCAATGAAATAAAATGA